TTTTCATACCCGCATCATGTGATCTGCCCCCTCCCCCCGTGTAGTCCTTCAATACTCCTGGTCAGGGATTGTCCAGTCTTTGCCTGGGATCTCCCTCCACGACGGTTCCTCCGTGTCACTAGTACTGTATTACAATCACCGTTGTCACCCCGCGGGCAGGACCCATCTTACAAGACTGTACAATGACCCCACTGGCTGGATCCATAAACCACCTCCTCCTCCTCATCATGTCTGTCCTTCTGCAGATGACAGTACTTCTTGTGGAATAATAAATGTTATACAATTGAGCGGCATGATATTTGGATGATGAACGGTGTACAGGGGACAGATTGTGTGACGTTCAGATATTCCCTCCCATCGGGGGAACCTTGTACAGGACACATGTAGGCAGCATGCAATGACTCCTAGGGGCCGGCTCTGTAATCAAGCGAGGTAGGGATGTCGGGACCGGTGATGCGTTTTCCACTCCACGTGATGCATTTTCCACTCCACGTGATGCATTTTCCACTCCACGTGATGCATTTTCCACTCCACGTGATGGTCGTCTGATAGCTACGTCCATCAGTGGCTTCTGTCATTGGGGACAAGGCCTTTTATAGGGGGGATGTCTTCCCCTCCATAGAAACCCATCTGATGTTTCTATTAAAGGGATTTCATCAATTATTTTTGTTGAGTGTTTATAAACTGATTTTTAATATTTTCTTGTATAAAAACCCCAATAAAAGTGGATAAAAAAACTAGAGGCTGGGTGGGGTTGGGGTGGGGGGTGTCCCTGTTGTAGATAGATCTGAACAGCAGGATATCACATTACACTCTAGTCACAGCATAGAAGTAAGGAGCTGCAGAAATCTAGAACGCCACCAACTGGCTGCACCTGGTAAATATGTGATAGTCCGATATTTACCGAATAGAAATGATTCAGTGAGGGGTGTGGAGCAGACAGAACATGGAGCAGTTGTCCCATAACTGAACAAACTGAAGAGAGAAGCTGATTGGTTGCCGTGCGCAGCGGCTCCAGTTCTGATACATTCCCTCCAATGAATATTCTTCAGTATAACACATAAAATAAGTTCTTAAGCGCTTTACGTTGTTTTCTCGTATAGAGAGAGCGCGGGGTACAACTATGTCTGTCTTAATAACCATTAGAGTGGAATAATAACTATAAGGCCCCATTCACACTGAGCGACGTGAAAATCGCGCGATATTGTGCGACTTTTTCCTATTGGGCTGTATGCAATCAGGAGCAATATCGCTTGAAAAAAGGGTCATGTAGGGGCGACGAGCTACCAGCGATATTGGGCGACGAGATGTGAACAGCTCCATTGAAATGGATTGGAGAAGCGACATAGAGCGATATCGCTGCAAAAATCGCTCGATAAATCGCTCAGTGTGAATGGGGCCTTAAGCTGCAAGATTAATCCTTCAGCCAATCACTAGACTTGTGCGCCGTCAGAAAATTTGTTTCAGAATATCCGTTATTTCGTAATTCGTGTCCGAAACTCAATTCGGATTCGTACGAAAAAATGGATTCCGGATCCGAATTTCGGATAAAAAAAAAACTCCGACTCCAATATTAACAAAGGTATGTTTGCTTTTTAACTTCATCATAACGGAATTTCGTATTTCCTGCCTGTGTATTGTAATGCGACTCTCAGCAGCAGCCGATCCGTATTTCATATTTCGGATTAAAAAAAAAATCTTGTCATGTTGTTCAACCTCATTACAGGGGTAATATTAGTTCCCGTTTCAAAGAAATTCGGATCCGAAATTCATTAACGGAATTTCGTATTTTGGATATAATTCGGAAACTGCCATTCGGATTTCGGATGCTTAAGAATTTACGAATTTCAGGAAAATTCAGACGAATTTCGGTTCGTAACGAAACGAATCGCACATGTCTACCAATCACTGCATTGGAGGAGAGCAGAGTCAGCCAGTCACTGTATTGGAGGAGAGCAGAGTCAGCCAGTCACTGCATTGGAGGAGAGCAGAGTCAGCCAGTCACTGCATTGGAGGAGAGCAGAGTCAGCCAATCACTGACTGAAAATAAGAGGGATTGATAGAATGACGTCATGTGATCTCCTTTTATTGAAACGAATGGATTTCGGTGGAAGAAAATGATCGGCAAATAAACAGAATTTGTCTCATTGTAAATGTCACTTTTCTTCATATAAAGTCCGGCTGAAATCTTCACTCTGACTTAAAAGGGCCCCCGAGGTTACAGGAAGCTTTTTGGCCCCTCCTCCGATCAGTAGTCCAGAGAGCAGATCAGAGCCACGCCCCGTTTTATCCAGTGGGTTTGTGGTTGGCTGCTGGGGAGCTCCACTGCGATGACATAGTTGGTGGAATGTCCCGTGGTGGAGAGCGTTCCTGGGGGGGAGAGAAAACAATCCCGCTCAATTATTCAGATGATGATGATTGGTCTGTGTATTCTCTGTGGTTTCCTCGTTTTCTGCCCCGTCACTGCTTTATATCTCGCCTCCCCTCCCCCTCATCAACAGGAAAATACAGCGTTATGGCCACTAGATGGCGCCGAGGAGCGTAGTAATCACATATTTACTTCCTATGTTCCTCAGCTTTATCTAGTGGCCATAAAGCGGTATTTTCCTGATATTACATTCGACCTGGAAACAAAACATTTGTTTTTGCCTCCGCACCGAACAAATATACATGAAATTTCACGGGGCGAATGGCTCTGCGCATTGTTTCTAAATACACCCCTTTGTGACGCGCTCCGTCCACCCGCACAGCATCTGATCTCTGCCGGAGATCCGTCATCTGTTATTACTGAGCCCGTCTCCTGCAAGTCCCCACTTTACCTGCCCGGGTCAGGGTCTTGTAGATGGGGCACAGGTAGGTCCCGGAGGCGGCCGGTTTGCGTTCGGACACCGGCACCAGCCAGATGACCGACATCTCCGTGTAAAGTTCTTTCGGCTTGGATTCGGCTAGCTTCATTGCCGTCTTGTCCCAGCTCGCTCCTTCCAGGTACAGGCCGTGTATGTAACACCCCTCCGGGGGGCGCCGCTGCAGTTCAGACACCGTCTCGTGGAGAATCTGCAACAGGGAAACAGACAACATCAATCAATCAATCTTCCCGATGGTGTTTACTATAGATGCACCGATACCGGTATTTTAGTACTGATAATTTTTTTGGGGTACCCGCCGATTACCGAGTACCGGAAGTCCCATTTAGGAAGCCAGGCGGCGTGTAATGACTCGCCCCCTGGAAAGTCTGTCCCCTCTCACCTCGGCATGTCCAGCCTGTCACCCCCAGGGGCCTCTCCAGCCAGAATGCGGCCTTCCTCCGGTACCCAGCCGGAGCCGTCTTGCTGGCTAATCATGGAAGCCGGTTGCCGTGTAATGACGCAGCCCCCGGCATTCTGATTAGCCGGGAGGCCGGATCCATGCTCCCTCGTCATGAGATGAAGAGGGAGCATTAAACCGGCTTCCCGGCCAATCAGAATGCCGGGGGCTGCGTCATTACACGGCGCCCGGCTTCATGATTGGCCAGCTTGCTGACCAATCGGAAAGCCTGGCAGCGCGTCATTACACTCTGCCCGGCTTCCAGATTGGCCGGGAAGTCAGGAAACCGGACAGCGTGTAATGATGCACTGCCCGGCTTCCTGATACAGGAAGTATCGGGCTAGGCATCGGAGCATTTGGGCGAGTACTCACCCAAATACTCGGTATCGGCACCGATATTGATACTAGTATCTGTGCATCCCTAGTGTTTAGACATGGCTGAAAGCATGAACAGACTTTTCAGGGACTGGCTGCAATCTCCATCATGAAGACAGTCCTAGAACTTAATATTTATTACTGACATGGACCACTGAATGGACTACAACCCCCAATTATCTCCCATTTACTCTCTACAGTTTTCTACTTTAAACCAGAACAATACCCGTCAATGCCGTTGGTGAGGAAGGGGCGTATTTTGGAGATGTTAGGAAGGTGAAGGCGGCAGGATTTGGATAGTGATTGGATGTGGGGAAGAAAGGTGAGGTCCGAGTCCAGGATGACACCTAGGACCTTGGCATGGGGGGGAGGGAGGATAGTTGTGTTATCAATCTCAAGGGAAAAGTTGGGGGAAGGTGCACGGGGGGGCTCATGAGCTCAGTTTTTGAAAGATTGAGTTTTAAGAAGTGTTGCAACATCCAGACGGATATGTCAGTTAGTAGATTAGTGACACGCAGGGACACTGAGGGGGGAGGGG